AAACATTAAGGGGTGACAGGAGTAACAATTTTTTCATATTAATTTCAGGTAATCTGTAGATGGTTAAATATTAATTCATATTAACGTTTAGTTAAATTATGAAAATGGCAAAAGAGAACTTGCTGAGGACCTGCACATACCAATTGGCTTCTGCCTTTCGACTTTTACCAATGATTTGGGCATGAGAAGGGTCGCCTCGTATCAAAATTCCTCAAATTCAACCAAAAACAGCATCGCATTAACATTGCTAACGAGCTGATGGACTCTGTCCGTGCCACCCGAATTTGCTCCAGAGGGCCATAACTAGTGACGAATTTTTGGTTTATGGTTATGACGTGAAAACCAAAGCTCAATCATCCCAATGGAAGCTGCCGCACGAGCCAAAACCGAAAAAAGGGCGCCAATTTAGGTCGAATGTCGAATAGTTTTCTTCTATTGCAGGGGCGTAGTGTACCATGAGTCCTTGCCAGAGGGTAGAATGGTCAATAAGGAATATTACCTGCAAGTTATGCGCAATTTGCCGGAAGCAATCCTCCAGAAACGCCCGGATTTGTGGAAGAACAAAAGTTAGCTTTTGCACCATGATAACGCCCCTACTCACACTACGTTGCTTATGCGCGAATTTTTAGCCAAACACAACACATTAATAATACCGCAGCCACCGTATTCACCAGATCTGCCACCCAGTAACTTTTTCTTGCTCCCAAAACTGAAGAGGCCCATGAAAGGATGGCGCTATGTTACGATTGAGGAGATAAAGACGGCATGGAAGGAGGAACTGAACAAGATCACAAACAATGATTTTTAGAAGAGCTTTGATGTATTATATCTGGTGGAGATCACTTTGAAGGGGACAAGATATTTATTCACGAATAAATGATTTTTGAAAAAACACAAAATTCACGATACTTTTTGAACAGACCTCATACTTATGTAACGTTCATTAATAAGTCGAATCGAGCTTTTTTTTTGGTATACATTGACACTTTGACAACCAAAATAGTCCATGATTCAAACATCAATCTTACGATATTTCATTGAGCGGTTTTCGTAGTAAAAATACACGGAAATACAAATCTGTCACGAACATAGTAAATCTTGATGTAGAGTTCGTTTGGAATTTCATGAACCTTTGCCTTGGGTTTCGCAGTGATACGACTACGTCCGTTTAATTATTAATTTCCACATCTCTACCTCTTAAAAACATTAACCGTCATTGTTTATCTAGACTTCTAGACCTGATTTGTGTACAACGATGCAAATGGTTAATAACAGCAAAGTCAATGTTTTCCTAAAAATGTAATACAATATGAACGCAACAAAGTCAGTCTCTGGCGCAAATAAAACCTCATGAGCTTTAGAACTAGCTACACTTACTACAAGGAACGTATTATGCATGTAAACACGGGTTTCATGAATGTGCAAATTACTATTTCAACTTCCATGTACGCATATAAAAATTAAACGTCACAAACGCGAAACGTTCAGTTCTTTTTTTGTATACATGGATGTATGTAACAGCGAACAAGACAAAAATCTAATTGGCTGATGTTTCAGTAAAGAAATGTAATAGTAAGAACGATTATAATCGCACCATAACATCACAACGACGCCGTCGTTTGTTATTATTATTGAATCATCATCGAAACATTGGTTAAATATTAAAAATAACACAGTTCTACTGGCAGAAGATCCGGGTTTGGAAGTTACATGGACGTAAATACTGCCGCAATAAAACAAAACTAAACAGAAAATTTAATAAAAACAAAAACAAGTTGCGTTGATACAATTTACGCATTTTTCAATTATATAATAATTAATATTTTATTAGATATATGCCCCCAACCAGAAGGCAAAAATTAACTCAAAAGTAATGATAAAGATATTAGCCCCAACTAGAAATTAAGTCAACAAAAAATGGAATTGTTAGCTGCTAACATTCCCATTAAAGTCCAACACCTTAATCCAAACAAGACAAATTTCAATTTTAGGCGTGTAGGAAAAATGAGAATATGAAATTTATTATTGTCATGTTAGACTTTACTTAACAAATTTAGATAAAAAAAGAGAAGGGACTGGAGCCGAATGTAAGTAAGACTACGTATGTACAGTAGAACCTCGATAAGATAAAGACCAAGGGAAACGTAAAATAATTTAAGTTATTGAGGTTAAGGGCTTAAGTTTAAGCTGTAAAATTATGGATTTCCAGTGACTTAGCAAACTCTTCAGCTTTTTCCTTTTTATGTTTTTATTTCTACACTGTCTAAACCATGTAAACTACAAGCATTTTTCTAAATTAGGGAATTCAGGAATTCTTCGTCTTTTACATAGAAGACTTTCTCCTGATTCGAACCACTTTACTGCTTATTGAGGTGCGATGCCCAAATTATTGGTCTAAATTATAGAGGGTTTTTATTTTAAGTAATACAGGTTTTGGACTCCGAGAGGAAGGGAACACAAAATTTTATGAATTTATAGAAGTTATTACGTTATCGAAGTTTAAGTTATCAAGGTTCTACTGTATATGGAATTTAGGAAAATAAGGGAAAAAAGGGAGGAAAAAAGGAATTAAGATGGAAATTGGAGGTGATACAAAAGGTGAAAAAGCATACACGTTTAGGATAAGTACCGGAAGAAAACGACATTGATAAAATAAATATAAAAGCACAAGTAACGAAAGTGAAAGCTTTCTTAGGAAGTATAAGGGTATAGGGAAAAAGTTCTGTAATGTAATGTTCGTGGGTTTAACAAAATTTAACTTCTAAGACGAAAACTATTTATTTACACTAATTATTATTAAACTTAAAAACACTATTGAATTATTACTAAACTTAGGTTAAGAATTATTCTATTTATTTACAGTACTGTTACTAAATCACTATTCACTGCACTGTCAATTTATTTCTAGATTAACTTCTGCAACGGTCAATTTATTTCTACTACTCTCGGCGATCGTCTCTTCCTTTAAATACCCTTTTGTTCCCTTTCGGGAACTTTCTCGAACCGTCCGAAAAAGTTTCTTTTTCTTTGAACTGTTTAATTGCTTTCCCATAACGCAGGTACGACATACACACTTACAAATACGGCGCACATGAAGAAAGCCGCCCGCGGCTAGTCGGCGAATCGATAAGCCGCTCACACACACGTATGCCCGATCGCGCACAAACACGCTTGTGCTGGCTACAGTATGTAAAAATGACTCGATCAAGTGGAAAAGGTTGTTTGATGTGACAGTTAGAAGTAAGTATATTAAGAATATGTTTATGTTTTTCTATTCCATATCAACTAATCTCCAATACAAATTACTTAGAATGGTAGCTGAACGCGATGCTTAAATTCTTAAAAAACTTTAATAACATAATGTGTAGGAGCTGTGCAACCCCCACCCTTATTAAGAGTTAATAAATATCAGTTTATATGGTTCTAAAACCCAGTCGAAAGATTTTTGAATAGGTACCCTAAACAAAGGTAACTTTTAGCGCTGTTTCACTTTTCTTTGCTGAGATTGTACACTAACATATTGACGATGTACTTGTACGTTTTTTAAGTATTATACCTAAAGCGCAATGTTTACTTATAATTACTTTTTAATGAATTTACAAGAGAGAAAGAGATGCGGTAGGTACTTACTACTTACGAAACATAATAATGGATTTGAAAATAAAAAAACAATAAATAATATTGTAATGACAGCATAGCTATTTTCTATCTTTCTAAAAGTCTACAGTTCAATTTTATTTGCTTGTTTATGGAAATTAAGTTTTTTTTATTTGAGCAATTAAATATGCGGTACATTATTGACAGTATTAGTACTGGAGTGTCTTAAGAAGCAATAGATTAATGCTTAATTGAAAAAGTTTATAGTATTTTAATGTATCCGCAGAACCTTTTTTGTCAAAAACAAAGGTTCTTGATCATTGCCAAAAATGATGCATATTTTTAATGGACGGAACATACAATGTTCAATAAACGAATGTTCTGCCAACAATGCTAGGGAAACGGCATAAATATTTCATCGTTGAACAGGTGTTTTATCGATAATTGATAATTACATTAATTTTTTATTACAATAACAAAAAAATAACATTCATTCATGGAGAGAAATAAAAGATGACATTATTCTATCAATCTTCTCAGGACTTTGATCAACGCTCTTTTTTTTGTAGTTCAAATATGCGACAAGTACAAGTTTATCACAGATTATTTTAAGTTGTTTTTCTCGATTTATTATTTCTAACGGAGTATCAAATTAATTGCTTGTAAGGAGAGTTGAAATACCTTTAAAATGATATTTAAGTTTCTTGAAGGGGTTGTCATTGCCTTTAGAAGAATGCTCTTACATTAATGTATTTACTGTCCGCTTTAAAGTCAAAATCGACCTGTTTCAGGCATTTCCAAAAATAAAAAATTAAATCCGCCACCCTGTATAATTGGGGAACATAGAAACCATCAGGGTGAGTAAAGAAGGTCACCCGCTTCACCACCCTATCCCATTCGCTTCTTATGACTGATTGCTGCTTAATCACTTTTTTACACTAAATAAATTTTGAATTGTCTTGTAATTACCTGCACCTATTTTTGACATCAAAAATTAATAGAGCAGAAAATCTCTAATAACAATGCACTTACATCATATGGGGTCAAATAAACTTATATGTCATGAAAACAAAAGAGCAAACTGTTTACGTAAATGTTCATTACGTATTCGCGATCATAAACTACAATTTTTATAAGAATGTCATGGATGAATAAGAACCTCTGAGCCTGGAAATTGCTTGAATTTCTTATTTTTTTTAATAATATTGCAACCTTCACCATTGTGTGATATGCAAACTTTCTTAAATCCCTTTTTATTAAAAAATAAATTTATCATTTTAAATCACCAAAAACAATAATTGCAACTGAAGTTAATATTGATTTTTCAATAGTTGATTATTTAAAGGTAGTAGCTATATAAATAAGAAATAAAATGCATGAAAAAGATACTTCAAGTTACTTACCCTGTAAGTATAAGGGATGCTAACCTGAAAATAAAGAAAAGTTACCTAAATAAATAAATATATGCAAAAATGTAAATTTTTAATCTTAAACTATTACATATTATTTATTTCCCACTAATAACATCGCGTTTTACAAAAGTGTTTGTATAAAGTTAAAACAATTTTTAAGAACTACTACAACTACATAAGTTGTAGCAATTGTTATTAGCAGGTTCCTAGGACTATACTCATTAGAATGCTGAATAATAAATTAAAATGAAATACGACATGAGGTGTAACGTACCTATGTTATATCCTATCTATCATATAGGCATACTTACAATAGAGAGATTGCCTGCGAAAATAACTGTTATACAAGAATATATCATAAAACTGTACAATGTGAAAATGTAATTCTTTTTTATACAGGGGTCCTGGATAATATCGTTTGTGATCAGTGGAATAAGAAGTTGACGTATTAAAAACATTGTGCTACTGTTTCAGGGCGATTTTTGAAGAGAATAATTTTAAGTAATATCAAACAGAAAGCCTTTCGCTAACAACCCGTAAAACCGGAGATTAAGTACCTATATACCAGTGATTCCGAACCTGGGGGTAATTACCCCCGCGG